TGCATACACGCGCACGTGCTGCAGCAGCAGTCTAATCGGACAAAAACGATCGTTCATAAAGTCATTAGGGCCCGATCGTTGCGAGTCGATTTTTTTTACTCTTCTTCTTTTCGGCGTACTGTAGGTAGCCAGGCGCAACGCGTCGACGAGCTTCCAGCGCCGCACCGATTTATCGATAGATCGAACTCGTGCGTACATTGGCCGTGTTGCAAAGAACAAAATGTTCTTTGTCGTATGTATTATACGCGCGGTAAAGACTATGTTTGCGCTAGATGGCTCGAGTGCGCCTTGAGCTTATCGTATATAATACAAACTCGTCCTGACTCGAGTCGCGCGTCCCGCGGCTCTTTTAGTTTGTTTTACGCGATAAGTATACGCGTGTCATTTTGACGCAATCGTAAGAAAAAAGTACGAGTACGCATGTAAAATAGCGTAGCTGCGCGATGACTATACGACTCTATACTGCTACTATGGAGCAACTACGATCGGCGCGCTGCAACTTTTCGCATGTATATATCGTAGGTACGTGTGAGAGAGCGAGCGAGCGAACGATATCGCGCGGAAGTCACGCTTCGACTGTGCGTTTTATATGCTGCTGCGAGGGTGTGCGTAGAGCACATAGACGCGCGAAAGTGCACGAATCGATATATATAAATAAAAGTTTGCCTCTGTGCACGCGCGCGTGTGTGTGCGTAATCGTCCGATGAAATCAAGTCCAAAACGAGTTGAACTGTGAAAAATTATGCACGCGGCTCCGAGTGCGCAGTTAACGCGAGACTTCAATTGGTGCTGAGAGAGAGAGAGAGAGAGAGAGACGGAGAGACGTTCATTGCATATCGAGCAACTATAACGACTAGCCGCGCAGCAGCAGCAGCGAACGATCTTCAAACTCCGTGGCAGGAATGATTTTTCTAGGCGATTGCAATCGATCGCAATGTCTCTCTACTTATAATATACGCTACGTCGTTTAAAACGATCATCGATTTGTCGTCGATCGTTTGACGCGTGTTTGGTCACTATATTTATACGCGTGTACATCATACACACGTTGTATGTGGATCGATTATTATTTTGTCATGCTCAACGATTCGCTTTTCGCCGCTTATGTGCTCGGAGCAGTGAATATTGTTAACAAAGCGCGAAAAGCTCGCTGCGTCTCGTATCGTATATTATTATAAATGCAATAATCATCGAACGTGCAACACTGGTGAATCACACTCACTCACATACACACACTCGTTCGTATCTATATTTGAGAGAGCTAATGCGTTTGTTATATCATTACCTCGTTTGCATCGTGACGCTTTACATACAGTCTATATAGGCATGTATCGTAATCATCTCGTCGTCGCCATCACCGCCGCCGCCGTCGTCGTCGTCGACATCGGTATGCTCGTTCGATTGTGGCTTTGATCGACTGCAACAGCAGCAGCAGCAGCAGCAGCAGCAGTGGTAGTATAGCAGCATCGAGACTTGTCCCACTCGCGGCCAGTTGCGAGCGTTAATCAAACGCTCGCCGAGACGTATAAAATGTATCATCTTTCAAACGTCCTTCCGAAGGTTATTCGTCCACTTTGTTTCGTTTAGTTCTTGCGCTAATCAACGACGACACTTTTTCGCGATAAAGTCTACCTGTGAACTTGAACGTATAGTCCCTATGTGCAACGATGGTTCGCGTTGACGCGTACGCATCGACGACAAGCATTTTCATAGATTTTACCATTATATACTATAAACTCTTGTGGATTTCAAATGAGGAAAAGAGAGGCGCGTGGCACTGACTCGCATTGTTTATAATAACACAATTGTCCAAGTATAATCACGAGTTTGTCACAAGCGGCGTATTATTATCGGAAAATTTGTCATTGACAGGATATTGCGCGGCGATCGATATCTTTATGTATACGATCAACTGCGACATCGATAAAGCCACAAGTTCTAGTGCGAATGTGCACGGATGCGATATTACGTGCGCACGACTCGACTCGTCACTGTGTCATCTTCGTTATGTATCTCATGAAGAACTTGTGAACTATCGTAGTGGCTGGCGAGAACTGCCGAGGCCATAGCTGCTTTGGAGCCGCTTCGTCGTCGTCGTCGTTATACCCCTCTGCAATCTTGATTCCCCGTGCCCCCCTTCACTCACTCGGTGTAGTCTTTAGCGTTGGCTGTTCCCTCTCTGTCTCTCTCTCTTGCCTCGCTCGCGCTCCGTCTGGCTCGCTCCGCAGCAGTTGGCTCTTTTGCTCCAAGTGTATCTTCGCGAGCACACACAGCGCACATACTTACGTACATACACGGACGAGCACACACGAGCTCCGCGCTGTAGTTTGAGTGCGGCAAAGCAAAGCTTCCTATAGCTTCTAAGCAGTATATACGAGAGCCTATAAAGGGCTTGATGCATCAAAGCTCGCTTATACCGATGCTGCTACACACTCCTGACTTTTGCGAGACTTAACCGAAGCTCGAGCCGCAATTGAAAGCTTTAATTTTACTTTAAAGGTTAAAATGTCGCGTGTAAGTAAATGTCAACAGTCGTCGGTCCATGTTTTTACCGCGAGTTCAAGCAAAGATTCAACGCGACCGTCGTCGACGATGAAAATATTTCATTTTCGGTACATCGAAACGTAATATCGACTCGTCGAAGCTTCGGTCAAGAATAGTCGTGCGCTTACTTTACGACGTGTCGCCCGTTTCTTATGGAAGAAAAAAATCGTGACTCTACCGCGCATCGTCGTTGGCGCCGGCAATTAATAAACCCGGGGGACGAAGGCACATAAATTATTTTAGCGAGATTCAAAAATTCGCGTTCGCCCGACTACTCGTATTACTCGCGCTCGAGACACGTGTGCCAGCGAGCACAGATGTATACGAGCGACTCGAGAGCAGCTTACATTATAGTTCGGTGCGGCCATTGCAGTCGCAGGTATGTGTATATCATATACGCGTACATTGTATCAACTCTCGCGCGCGCGCCTTGCAACGCTTGAAATATCCCGTACACGCGGGCAGACAACCGAAGACCGCCTCGTGCCGCATATAATACGTACCCGCGCGCCTCGGTGTCGCGCCCGCACAAAATAGCTTAAATAGAGAATAAAATAGAGGTCGTCGCGTCTAGGGACTTTTAATGTTTTAGCTGTGCTCCGCTGCTGCTTTTCGTGGCGTTTTGATTATACGTATTGCAGGAAGCACGACCCGACAAACGAGGTATCGTGTATATTTTTGGATCCATCCATACGATCAACGAAAACGAATCGGATGCGCGCGACAAAACGGACAATGGATTCGTTCAAGCTTGTTTGCAGCAACGAGCTTTTTTATTTTGTACCGTGTGTTTTAACGCCACGTTATAAGAGCCATGTAATATACTCGCGTGCAAGCTGCGTTGCAAAGTTTAACCGCAAGCTCTCCTGTGATAAAGAATTCCGTCAGCTCCGCTAGTCCGAAGGGGGGTAAAATCGCGCCCCGACACTTTTTAAAGCTGCTCTCGCGACTCTATCAAAATTCTAGCTCGAATCTATCTCGTTGCTTTGAGAAAAAAAAAGTAATAATAACGATGAAAAACGATATCTCGGTAGAAAGTGCAGCATATACATACGTTTGAAGTAGAACGTAAGACGCAGCCGACAAAGATGTACACACGCGTACGTACACAAGCCAAGACGCGGTAAAAAAGGGTCGATGACGTGTCGGAGCTTGCAGCGGATCATCTTCTTTCGCGATGAAAATGCACGTCGGGGCTTTTTCGCGCTGATGGGACTCGTACGATACGCCGCTGTACGTGATAATATAAGCCCCGAGCTTTGTTTTTGGCAATTTTTCTCGCTCGCGCGGACGGGCTTTGATTCTTTTATATCCCAGCGGCATGGCTCGAATGCTCTTTGGTCTCGAGCACGTCGCTGTTGACCACTCCGAGCGTGGCGGCAGTACGTTATGGCGCAACGTAATATTTGAGGAAAATAAACGATTCGGTGCGACAGCTCGCGGAACCGTTTCACCGGGCCAGTTACAGCTTTTGCATATTTCGGCGTGCGCGTCGCTGGCATATATTATATCTGGTTTATTTAGCCGCGCACAACTCCTCTAATGGCCGTTTCTCTCTTTTCGATTCTTCCCTGTCTCTGAGAGCTTATGTGTGTGTGTGTGTTGTGTATGTCTACGTGTGTGTATGCCACAATGGCATCGACACACACGGCAATTGACGACTTCCTACGACTTCCGTAGAATATAACGCACTCTCGGAGATCCTCCCCACTTCCACTAGACTTTATGTACATATACATGCAGCAGCAGCTCGCAGGCACGCGGAGAGCAGCGAGCCGGGCGTCCTATATGCCGGAAGTCCGTGCGACAACAGTAAGCAGTCAATGCGCTCTACGGTATGTTGCTGCTGCTGCTGCTGCAGTATAGATATATGTACGCACTTCTCGTACGTGTAAGTCACCGTGCGAGTGTGTATTGAATGCGTCTACAAACACTTGTACCGCAAATATCGAAAGAGACTGCGGCCAGGCGTGGACGTCGTTGGCGATCTTTTCTACTTTCTGCCTTGGACTCGTAGCTCGCTGCTCGGAATTCATCGACAAAAGGCACTGTATGATTTTCAAAAAGCTTTGCCGTGTATGCGTAAATTTTTTTCACTCGATTTACCGAGATTAATAATTACGGTAAAAATTATTGCATCGTCGTAGTTATGAGTTTTGCAAAAAGTAGGTCCATTAATCGAATCGCTCGAGTTGAAAATCGACCGATCGAGCAACGTACTGTCTACGGTGCTCTGTGTAGCTCATACACATACCTGTATATACTGTTATGCTTTCACGATAACCCCCCTCTTAGCGAGATACCGCACTTATGCGTGTATTTGAGTGCGTGTGCTCGACCCTGAACTTACCTTAAACTCGCGTCTCCGTTTCAAGTGCGCACCTCCAGGTGATGGATGAACCCAATAAAGGAGGAGGGGTGAAATGCTATAGGAACAAAAAAAAATGACAGATTCAAAAAATCAATTCTTACTTTATTCAAAATGACGTGTGTGAAATTTTGCGCGCTATACATCGCTGTATAACGAATATTATACAAAAGTACAATTCCTCGATGTGCAGTCGGAGTGATGGGCTAAGCTCGAGCACATTTTTTACGAAATGCATAAATATCTCTAGACAATTGGTTAAACATTAGGAGCACCTGCGGTTGGCACACCGACGATTCGAAAAATAATATTAAAAATTTGAGCAATTAATCTATGTGATTGTTTCGTTATTTCTTTTTTACTCACTGTTGAGTACAAAATAAACTATCGTGCAGCCCCACTTACTCAACTTTTTTCTCGCGGTTTAATATAAACCGACTTAAATACTCCTTAGCTTAAGACAAAATTACTCAACAATATAAAACATTCGATAAATTGCACTAAGATCAAAGAAATTGACAGTACCTTTCTTTTTACATTACCGCGTCAAGTTGGATAAAATTTGGCTTTCTCGTTGCATTTACAGGCGTATCAAAATAGACATCTTGCGTTGAGATTAATTTAACTATTATTGTTGGCTGGACCATCGTCGCTTGTCCATTTTTAAATGGAATTCAATTACATCGAACGAGCTTTGAAAATCTCTTGAATTCCGACAGTAAGGCATAAAATTGAGATTACTTATTATCTAACGTCGTTGGCGAGACAAGGGTGTGTTAACCACAAAGTCCACGCTATGATTTGTCATTTTAACACACGAAGCCTTTTTCATTAAAATTTAAAAGTAAAACGAAAAAATGGATTAAAAAAGTGTTTCTCGGCACGCCAGCGCAGTTTGGCATTTGATTTACCACAGCCCTTTTTTGACGATGGACGATTGAATGCTGCATTGTAATATCGTAGTGTAGAAAACCAGCTGCAGCCATGAGAAACGAAGAGGCCTCGGATCGGACGGAATCCGCAGCAAAATTAGCCCAGACCGACGTCCAACGACATCATGACGAGGAAACCTGCAATCGCTCCCCAACTGGCCAACTTGCCGTTGCCGCTGCAAGCACACATCAGAGCATAATGATAATATATGAGCACGATGACTTTTTTTTTAATAATAATAACGTAGCAAGAATTTCTTAACGATTAATATCGTGTTATATTTACGGCTATTAAGATTGCGCGTATTATATGGATCATGTGTGTATGTATGTGTGTGAATATCGAAAGGCCAATTGCAAAACAGACATCGACGACTGTTTCCGTTTTCCGATATACATATAAGCGCTGGGTGCATCGTGTACGTCAGCACGAGTATACGAAGGCATAAACGAGAGGCGGAACCCTACTTACCGCCGCACGAGTATAACAAGAATCCACATATCAACGAGAGAGAGAGAGAGAGAGACTACGACGACACAATAATCAAGCCGTGCGATTAGTTTTTTTGTGTGTCACGCATGGAGTGCGAGTGAGAAGCAACAGCAGCAGCACGGGTGCGAGTGTATGAGTGAGCGATTCGAGGCTCATTTTTCACACATATATATACCTGCTAGCAAGCGAGCAATATAGATATAGGGTGCGAGACACACTTGCTGCCACTGTACACAGTCAGGAGCATGCTCGCAGGACTATATACGCGCTAGGGCCAATCGACGCTTAAACACGAGAATTACAATGGGCGCGCAAGGTATATAATAGGTTTTTTCGCGGCGAGCCGTCTATCCCGAATCGTCGTCGTGTTCGACGTGCTTGCGAGGAGACGTGTCGCGACGCGATCCGTAGCTTTTTCTGGCTGCCTCCTATGTGTAACACATGTGCGCGCTGGCTGGCTGGGCTTGCTGGCGCGGACAAGATGCGTGATGGTGCGCGTTTCCCGAGGGAGCCTGCATAACTCGAGTATCTCAGAGAGACTTTCTGCCAGTGGTCCGTACACGCACGCACGCACGCACACACATATAGGCAGGAGAGCCAGTCAATTACAATGACAATGAGGCCAGTCGACTGCTGCCACTACTGCCGCATATACTCGACGAAGAGCTCCCCGCGCGAGCGGGCCACTACTACTGCTACTACTGTACCACGACGCTCCTCTCTAAATGCATGCGTGCCGATGGGAAACCGGTGCCTCGCTTTACAGCCTATACAGCAGCAGTGGTAGCAGAATCGGAAGGGTCTAGTTAAATACGTATACATACGATGTGTTGTGTGCCGCATAGGAAAAAAGAAGCCTATACAGCGGAATTTCTTGCCTATATAATAATATTCGCGCGCGAGTTCAACAACGATTCCAGTCAAATATTATATTATGAAGCTATTCAAGGCAATTCAGCGCGCGCGCCCTATATACCGATGCCCGACGATATTGTATCCGTGTATATCGAGTCCGATTGGCCCCGAAGGATCGCGTGAACGAGTTTGCTGCGCCCCGCACTTCTCCAAGCTCGAAGATCCGATACGTATTGGTGAGAATTAGGGGGTGTTTTTTCTCCCTTATTCGTTTCTCCTCTCTTTTTCCTCCAGCAGCTTATTTTTAGGGGTGTAAAATTCGACGAGTCGGCTAAATGAACATTGTATTATTAGTCGATATTCGACTGTCGACAATATTCGTGCCGTCTGTTTTACACGTTTTAGAATTCTTTTCTAATTCATTCGGTGCATGATCTGGAAAGATCGTTTGTCGATGTGTTTGGTTTGCTGTTTTCAGATCAAGACTTGAAAATTTTAGAAGATTTGATTTTTCTCCTGTCTTCTTCTTCTCTTGGTTGAGCTCCGAAATCACAGGGAAAATTGTCATATTTTGATGAGTTTTTGCATTCGAATATTTCTCAAAGAACTGTTTTTCGTTTTGTTTTAATTTGAGATTTGCACAACTGCAAAACACATCATCTCGATAAAACTGTTATTCTGAAATTTTGAGATTTTCATGAGAACAAGACGCATCAGCTCGATAAATTTTTAATTCTCTGAAATATCGCCTCACATTTTCAATTTTTTGATACTCGTCTTAGTGTGAATAAAGAATGTAAATATCGAATTCAAATTTTTTCGTGTATAATCTATAATCGGAACATATATAGCATTGGTAGAGTTCCATTATTTTAAAAAGCTATGAATTATCAATAAACCCTAATTGGAAAGAAATCTAAATTGAAAAACAGAGTCGAAATTAAGAAGAAATATTTTAAAAGTTAAAATCAATCAACTAACCAAAATAAAATTTTCATTCCACAAACGTAATTATTCATCAGATTTTACAGAAATACAGTGTATTATTATTGACATCGCTATGTTACCACAGTACCGTGTGTTAGTTGAATATTTTCATGCGTAAGCCATCATCACTTTGTTGACATATTAGTGATCTGTCATAGCTTGTGTACTTTCCGAAGTGGTTAACTAATGAATTGAAAATCGAAATATTTTGAATCTCGCAGACTATCTACAACGATTTTAATCTATATTTGACATTCCTCATCGGTGCTCTCTTTTTCTAACGAGATTCATAGAGAATATTTACATGAAAATGAAATGTATGCGAAAAAATACAATTTATTAAATTTAGCCTCTTGGGAAAAATTGTCATGATCATTAGACAATCAACGTACACCATGACGTCAAGTATATCATGAATAAAAATGTACAATGAAAAAGTTTCACCTGCCAAAAATTTATATGTATATATTGTAAATAATATGATATAATTTAAAAACCGAGAAGCATACCGCAGGAATTTAATTTCAATATCGCGTGACTGTAATAAACGACGTCTCGTAACTTTTTTTTATAATCTCTCTCCCTTTGCGTAGCGCTTGGCTATTATATACGTCACCGTAATCCTTTATTATTATCCTTTCGTTCCGACCTTCCATGACTATTCGCGCGATTCAAGCTCTTTTATATTTTATATATAGGCTTTATGCGCTTGAAATTATGTCGCGCGCGCGCGCTCAAGCCTGCGTTATAATTGACGCATAGCTCGCATAGTATAGCGATGCCTTCGAGCGATCGGTGAGGAACGAAATTTTCTACATGCACAAATCCAGTTCAAATTTTACGTATGACTCGAGTTTTATATACACACATACATTTTTACAAAAACAGAAGTTCACGGAAATGTATGAAAACAAGAGAGCCGAGCTAGCTGCGAAAGAGAGAGAGAGAGAGAGAGAGAGAGAGAAACGAGTGAGAACCAAAAAGGCGCGATAAGTTGAATAATATGTGAAAAAGTACCTCCCTTATGGTCGGAAGATGGGTCATTGTGTCGGTGGGAAAGCTCCGGCTACGGTACTCACGTTTCTGAAGGGTTTCTATGCGCGTATACGTATAACGTTATAAACACGCGTGTGCTTCGTGCGAGTATGCGCGTGTATATCGACTGAAATGCGAGATTATACGAGGAGTGTAGTTCCGCACGCGCGAATGTATGTTTCTTTTTTCAATTTCTTCATTCGATTTTCCCATGTACAATGAACGAAGAGCAGAGCGAGTTGCGCAACAAACGGAAATGCAAAGATCGCGCGCGCGTTGCCAAAAAAACATGGCTCGTTTACGAGTTCGAGTAGTCGTGGCTAATTCGCGCGTCCATTGAAATTAATTGGGACTGTTACAGGCAGCTACGTGGCTCGCTCTTTAACCGCACAAAAGGGGGCTATATCATATAATATAAGCTCGAAATGGGATTTTATTTCTAACAATTGGTCGTAAAATAGTCTAATAGACTTTCACACTCGTGGAACGAGATTCTCCTCGTCGTGTAGCAGTAGCAGCATGTATAATACATATAAAAGTACGAGCTCGACGAGGACGAGGTGCAGGCAACAATGTCCATCTCGAGTAAACAGCTTTAACTTAATGTATCGACGATAAAAAGCCCGCAGCAGAACGAACTGCGATGGTATGTAGGTACATAGGCACATATCTGTGCAGTAGTTATAAGCTATATATATGTAGTAGCAGTTGTTTATTGTCACTCGTAGCCATATATATTCTGAATCAGGGCCAATTTGACAGTTATAACCGAAACAAAGTCTGTCTTTTCCTTCGCCCGTTTCTTCTTCTTCTCTCTCTATATATAAACTATGTATTTATGTGCCTATATTCGTGTGTGTATGTGTGTATCGTTACATTATATACGCGTATATAGCATCGAGCCCGGATATAAACGAGTGACCCTCGTTTTTAATGGCACAAAGCGCACCTGCATTATTCATAAATGCGCATAATATAATCCAGCGAACAATTAAAAGCCGTGAATCTATAATTCTTCTGCCAATTCATAAAAGTACATTTCGAGCCTAACGATATGTGTATAATATAAGGTGTGCAGAGAGCGCACATACATAGGATATATAAGTCTCCACCCCGTTTATACTATTTCTTACCCTATGAGCTTTGCAGCGCTAGCTATACATATACGTGCATCGATACGAACAGGGAAGGGCAGTTCCGCAGCAGAAGCAGCAGCAGCAGCTTCGAGTATACGTATATATCTATAGCTTACATAATACAACAAACCCAAGACGCCGCATAAAAATAACAAGTTTCGGTGACGAGGACGGCGTAAATCACACCGAGCGCTACGATTTTTCAGCGTAACACCGGCGCGCGGTTACTGCCGCCGCTGCCTGCAGTCGACGAAACAAGTCTTTTATATAGGACTCGCAGCAAAGGGGGCATACGTACAAGCGCGTACTTGGTTTCTTCGTACGGAAACCGTCTCTATCCGCATTATACCTGCGTATAAAGGCAGCTTTATAGAAAAGACAATGTGCTTGCGCGCGGGGATGTGCACTTGGTAGTTGTGTGCGCGTATAACGTGCTATAGCTGCCGGAGTACAGGAGCTGCGACGAGGACGATTTTGGACTCGGTCGCCGCGCGTAGTAGTGGATCGCGCGCACGAGCTGGCCCGGCGAATATAAAAGGACTGGTTTTAGCTGCTAGTCTCTTTTATATACACACGGGCTTTTGTGTCGCACGTGCGCGCGATCCACTACAGAGAGAGAGAGAGAAAGCACCTCGGGCGTTAAAAGATTTTGCGCTAAACAGTTTTTGCGACTTACTTGAATACCGAGCTACACACACACACGATAGGTAAACGTGGGCTATCTATAATGTACGCTCCTTCCGAAAAGGTGTTTAAACACGGGCGCACGAATTTTTCATGTTTGCGCTCCTCTCTCTCTGTACATATAAATACAATCTACAGGAAAGGATCCAAACAGGAAAGGATGATCGGCGCGCGGAAAGGATGAAAAATCGCATGCCTCGACAGCAGGTTGACGTACGCGCGCGCAACAATCATATAGTATAGAGATTTTTTTTCTCTCGTGTCTCTTGGTGATACCGTACCTCTGATGAGCCTCGGGTATGATGTCATCGATGACGACGTAAATCATGGCCCCCGCGGCGAAGGCGAGCGCGTAGGGCAGCACGGGCGCAGCCAGCGTGACGCAGGCGGCCCCGAGCACGCCGGCCAGCGGCTCGACCATCCCGGACAGCTGGCCGTACCAGAAGCTCTTGAGCGTGCTGAAGCCGGCGGCCTGCAGCGGCAGCGACACGGCCAAGCCCTCGGGGAAGTTCTGGATGCCGATGCCCACGGCTAGATTCCTGCAACAGACGGCAAAATATCACAGCTTTATATATATTATGTATTGCGTATACATGTATTGATCACGATGATGATGATGATAATGCGACGTTGCAAGTCGACTCTTCGTTCCTGCATACATACGTACACGCGTCGATTTATTTTTGCGCGTAAAGCCCGTATATGCTGCCGGAGAATCGGAAGGCAACGGTTCATTCGCATATACATCCGTACGTGTATGCGTTTATACGCGTGTGTATGTGTACACGTGTAACGAGCGGAGAGAGCGAGAGAAAGAAACGCATATGAGCGGATGACGGCAATATAAGGGTCAAGCCGCGCGAGTTGCCGGTGAATGAACGAACGAAGATGTTTCTATATATATATTACTGCAGGATACTTTTCGCAGTTCTCTTGGCAGCTTCGTGAATGAAAGCCAACGCTTAGCGCGCGCTATATAGACACACGACAATTATGACGCGAGCCGGCCGCGGATATGTAACACATCGACGATGTAAGCAGCGCGAAGCTCGCCAGGTATTCGTAGCGCGCGCGAAAATAAAAAGAAAAAAACAAAAGTAGCGATATCGACAGACAGCTCGCGGGATCGAATCACGGCGCGCGAAAAACTTCTACGCTAGCGTCTGTGCTTGTTATACATATCGTAAGTATAGGTGAAAGCTCGATTTGCAACGACGAGCTACGCGCGGCGCGTGCATACATTACATATCGCGCGATATATAGGATTATATGTACGGCCGTCGAGAATTAACGAGAGCAATTATACGCAATGACGAGCTCGTGGAATTTGGTTGTTTCAACTCGAGACGATTAGCTATACGCGCGCCGCATAATCTTCCTCTCTCTCTCTCTCTTGTGTGCATACAGTCTACATGCATAATATGCGTGATCGTGTGTGCAGCGACGTTTAAACGTTCGATGCGTGCCTGCGCGAGTATGCAAGCAGCTAAAAGCAAGAGAGAGAGAGAGAGAGAGATGCAAGAGACCAGACGCCCATTCCAGACGCTTGGCGCATTCTTTCTCGTATGACGACGTTATATAAGTTATGCGTGCATGTATTATATATTATATGCTGAATGCGCGCCCGCCACGCGGCGTTAAAGGATTGCGCCGCGACCACACGATAAGTAGATATGAAAGTCGATCGATCGATCGATCGATGCGTACATATATTTTATTACTATCGATTCGATATTCAAACATTTCTCCAACAGAACGCAATAGGCAAATAAATTCACCCTTTCAACTTCACCTTTTTAATTTTTTTTTCTCGTAACGAAATCTTCTCTGGGTTCGTTGTATTTGGTCGCACAAATGATTGTACGACAAAAAGTTATTAGCAAGAATTATGGGATGTTTATGCAGAAATAACTCAATGATTCATTAATCATCATCGGATATAATGAATACTTTTAATGACTGCAAGATTTCCCGTCTCAAATAGACATATTACTCATACAATGTTTGCGATATCTTTGACGTTACAAAACATATATGTACTTTGTTCACGTTAGAAACAATAAATCACAAAATATTTTTCATACTTCTTTACGTAAATAATTTTTTCAAATTTTAAACATCAATTACGTTTTTGGTACGATTCTCTTCAGAAATCATTAATAGATAGCTAGCTTGAAAGCACTTAAGAAACTTTTTTGATGCAATCTATACTCTGAGTAAACTAAAATTATTCATAGCAAATCTAAAAAAGCTACTGGAGAAACTCCGACATTACAAATTTTATTACAGTTTTGCATCGTAATTTTTATTTTTTTACTTTTCTTTGTTAGTATTTTTGCAGTAATTGCAAACATTATTAATTAGAGTTACTTCCGCTGGAATCTCACTCTCATGAAAAAGAAGATGAAGCATTGCATAATTATAACAGGGCAGATTATATGGCTATAATTACAATCGTCGCACCTAAGCTTGGTAATAGTATTATTTATCTTTTCAATATTGATATGTGATGTCATAAATGATCTTATGTATTTTAGGATCAACGAAGTAAAGCAAGACTTGAGAATTTTCGAAAAGGTCTGAATTATCCGATTTTCATGAAAATCGTCTTATTCAGAACCGATCGCGAGGCTATAACTACCAATACCCAAGCGTGATTCTCGTTTCCACAGACCGGTAAATTTGTAATAATATCCCTTTCAATTATGTTCAAAAATAAAGCTATGTATTATTTACGTAGAAGCACGCGGTATTTTCACGCGTGCAAACGTCTCGATTGATTTTTCTGCAGCTCTCTCCCTCTCGCGCGCGCGCAAACATTAAAGGAGAGCTTCGGAATTCTTTCCCGCATTCCTCAGGACTCTCGCAAGTGGTATATGATATACCACGGTGATCGGTATATTAGCTAGCCGCCACCGAGCGCACGCACATACCGAGTATATATGTACAAGAAAGAGTTATATAGTGTTGAGGAGGCTCGTTCGATGCAAGCTGCTGTACAGTAGTCGCGCTTGGACGAACTTACGCATTGTGCAATACGCGCTATAACGCGTACACAATGTCAAACAGCTGTTCTGCTGCAAAAAATAAATAATATCCAAGTTCCTAGCTACAACACTTTGGTATGGTTTAATTTGGTTTAACACTCGCTGCACAAGAGTTCGGTTGTTGGTGAAGGATGACTGTTGAATGAGTCTTGACAGATTTGACCGTGACGTCCCACAACCCCCGAAATTAGGGGCATGTAGTGGGATGAAACTCAACTAGACTACGTCTTTGGCAAGACTTTCTGAGATCGTGGTCCAATTGAGATATTTCTTTTTCATTATTTTGTTCAGTAGGTGTGTTCAGTTTTATTAAAATAGGTTACATTCAGGTTTCATATTTTTTGATGGTCGGTTTCATCGCTCACCGAATCGAACCAGGGCTCCAAGCAAGTTTCTTTAGAATAGATCATCCAACAACTCAAGATGAACTGTCTTCAATGCTAATATCGCGACCCATATCTTAGTAGCTTGGGTTCCACCTGAATGATATTATAGCGTTACAGGAAAAGTTAGGTGAAATTATATTAATAGATTTTTATTGTAGTAATCGTCGTAGCAAACTCTTCGAATATGATATTTATCACAAATCATTTGGATACCAGCATGTACTCAAAATTCTCATTTTGGTGTGATTTAATCTAAACTAACCTTTCGAATGTCATATTTATCGGAAATCATTTGAACAAAAAACCTCACCTCCAAAACCACATAAATGGAGTACACGATTGGAGCAAACCCTCGGAGCGTGAGATTTTTTCACCTCTCATTCATGTTAATAGTTATGTTTTTTCTGTAATTTGTGTTATTTGTTAGTGCATTGTCATTGTACCAATTTTTCAAAATCCCATTTATAAGTTGAGCTTTTTTTACAGTAGAAAATTCTCGCCTCGAAACAAAAATTATTTTTAAACTTTGCATTTCTATTCCACAACTGATTTCCATACTTGCAGAGGATTGAAAAACTGTAATTTTTGATAAAAAATTTCAGTAAATATAGTGACTATTCAGTTCACCCGATGCTAAGTATAACGTGTGCCTATTAATTGGAAAGTATTATTTTGCAATTATCATTGAACTTGGATCAACTACGTACTGTAAGTGCACATCTCAGCGTCGCATCTAAACATTTATTCACGAATCCGTTTTTGCCACAGTGTAGTGCTGTTACCCGTACCCAACAAATCCAATTGATTTTTCATATTTGTATGTACAATGTAACGACAATACCTTTCTAATACCTCATTAAAGCTGGATTGGAACATAGTTAAAGCGCACTTGTGCAGTCATTCAGAAATATTTCTCGCTTCATTCGTTTATGTGAATTTTGTTTGATACACGTCGCTCAATTATCACTTTCTCTGAGTTCTGAAAATCGTAGCAATTTTACTAATGATTGATTTATACCGTAGCCATCATCCAATGAACTTCGCACGCACGAGCTGTATACCAGCCCGTGGACAAAGGCTATCACGTTATCAGTAATTTGAAAACTCGCGCTTAATGTAGAGATGGCATTAGTAAAACGTTCATTACGATGACCCAATCAGGTTATCACTTCAAAAGAAAAAGTCTGATATTCATGTTTGGGTTAAACGAATGAGTCTCCTTAATTCGCTCACGCGCGAGCTAAGATTTACCAGGGTTGAAAGACGCGCACTCGTCTCCGCTTTATTTCTTGTTGTATACGTCTCGTTGCCTTCTGCTACCGATGCTATATAGCAACTCCGGGGTCACCACTGATAAATCGATCGACTTGGAAATAAATGCTACTCGTGTAACCAACCGTACCGCTGGTGCATGAGAAAAAAAGAAGAAAATTATATTCATCAAATATCATACGCATCGAAACGTGCAAAATTTACAACGATCTTCCTAGGCCTTGCGTTCAGAAATTTCCGCGTTTCCAAGGCAAAATAGAAAGCCCCTCCGAAGCCTATGAATTTATCGATCAACGTAAATCACCGAGCTTATACAAATAAATAAATTACACGATAGTTGCATCGTCTATGTGCGCGCATCGCACGCAAGCAGTGCGCGAAAATAGCTACGTCGTGCAAGCGGCGAAGCGGAGCAATAAATAAAAAAAGGTGCAAAAGTTCCGCGACAAACGAAATAAGACGGAGAGAGAGCGAACTAGAGACGATGTAGAGGTAGAGAGGGAGAGAGAGAGACGCACAGATGCTACTCGTGCGTCAGAGACATCAACCTCCGTGGAAGCAGCTGTTGAGCTCTGTTGAATCTCCGACAGACTAGCTAAACTATAAGTACAAGCTCGGAAAGCGATCGCGATTTTGCTCTACGAAGCCCTGGTATAAATCAATAATTTGCAGACCAGCACGCGAATCGAAGAATCCAGAAGTTACCGAAAAACGCGGGTCAATTGCAAAAACTCGTCATTGTGATGAATTAATTCGCGGGTCGAGTCTTCTGCTTTTTATCCCGATCGGGGTGTAATGGAAAGTCTAACGCGCACGCACAGGCCGATGCAGCAG